CTCTCTCTCTCTCTCTCTCTCTCTCTCTCTCTCTCTCTCTCTCTCTCTCTCTCTGTGTGTGTGTGTGTGTGTGTGTGTGTGTGTGTGTGTGTGACGCACACGTTTCATTTGTCATTTGCATGTTGACATTTGTTTCTGCTGCTTGCGGCCAAGGGCGACTGGAAGCATGGCGAGGAAGTCTGAGAGAGAGGCGCTGGCAAAACTGGACACAAGGGACATTGGTGTGGTGTTTTTGAACTATCCATTTTCAAATCAAGATGTTGCATTGCATTTGCCGAACCATCAAAGAATCGACTGTTGTTACCCCCCCCCCCCCCCCCCCCCCCCCCCCCCCCCAAAAAGGACTTGTGGTTGCAGTGTGAAGGTCCTCCCCCCCAAAAAAAAAAAAAAAAAAAAAAAAACGAGTTTAGCAGATCTGATGGCAACGGCCTGGTGCCGTAATCCTTTACTGAGGCCTGTGTTCAGTGGACAGACCGGGTTTTGTGCCGGAGATGAGCTGCAGATTCACCTGATGATGTGTCTGATATGCACTTATGGTGACAAATTTGTAAATTGCTGGAGTTGGGCCTTCCGGTGACTTTGTGATGATGCAGTGCAGAAAAGAGCACTTTGATGAAGGTTGATCTATTCCATTTTCTCATCATCAAAATAATACTCTATTGCGAAGGAGAGCCGGTTAACCGAGCCCTCATTTTTCACCTCAATTTATAAGAAAACCATAAGGCCATTTCAAGCAAACTCATGGTTACTCAGGGCCGAAAAGTGGGTGTCCCCGTTAAAGCTTGTGTCACAAAGTGGGCTGCAGGGGTACGCTGTTTGCCGATTGCTTGCTTAATGTAATTCCGTTTGTCAGCACCCAGCTGCGACCCTGCTGCCGTAATTCCATTTGCTAGCACCCAGCTGCGAGCCTGCTAGAGCCCCCGGCGGAGGGGGATGCTCGTATCACGTCCTCAAGCAGGCCCAGTTGGCACATTTCTCAAAAAAAAAAAAAAAAAAAAGGAGGGGGACCTGTAACGGCTACCTAGTACCTCCCTCTTTGCGAGGATTTTTTTTTTTTTTTTCCTGAAAATGAGGACCACCATCATACACATTTCGTTGAAGATTCAAAATTTCAAATATCAGTTGTTTCCACACTAGGAAGAAGTCAGGGTGACCAAATTTCTGTGGGTTATTCCCTGACGTGTTCTTTTGTGCACAGTAATGTCAGAATCATGTTAAAAAGAAAAAAAAGAAAAAAAGAAAAAAAAAAAGTCAGCAAAAGCTTTTCAGCTCTCTGGTGCTCCCCAAGCCGGAGATTGGAGCCATCGACAGTCGAAAGGCCTCGATCGGGGCGACGATCGCACTGTTCGTGCGGTTGATGGTTTGCTCGAAGATGTTTATGTCCCAAAAAAAGGTGCCACCAAAAATGGCCAGAGGAGGCAGAAAAATAGTGAATGCAAGGCGCACCCACAAAGACACATTCCTTGTCATAATAAGGAGAGTGGTAAAAAGAAATGAGATGATCCTCATTTGAGTCATTTTTTTCCCTCCATGAATACAATGGTAGGTTCATTTTGCCGATCGCCGTCCGACTGCCATCTTCACCCGAAAATAATGCCCGCCGGGCGTTGTATTCAGTAAATTGGGTGGCATCTTCGGCGGTGCCCCAAAATTCCCCCCCCCCCAAAAAAAAAAAATCTGTGAAAAAGAAAATGTTGTCCAGAGTTGCAAAGCGACCAGCATTCGGCGGAGGGTCACTTCAGAATTCCTTATAAACTCCGGGGGGGAGGGGGGGGAATCAAACTGAAATATACCCCTTGGAAGTCAAAACCCCTTTCAACCCCCTTTAAAACCCATGTACATTTTATAACCCCCTCCCTGCCCTTTAACCCATGTACACTGCCTCCACAAGGCACTCTGCCCATGGAACATTCAAATATAACGCCCAGGCTTTCTATTCGAATATAACACCCGGGCGTTATATTTGAAGGGGCGTTTCTTTTCCTTAATACTCCTAAAGCATGTAGCGGGTCTCGTGTAACGTTCCCACGAGACTCCGGTTGCCAGTGTTGGGAAATGTGACGTGGTGAGGGGCGGGCCCGCGGGGAACTCCTTAGTGTTTTCCGAAACGGCGGGCGCTGGGGGGAGTCCAAATCTAGCGCAGGGGCCGGGGAAGGTACACTCCCTTTTTTTTTGGGGGGGGGAGGGGGTCTTCGGGAGTCTTCGGGTGCGAACCGGCAGACTGAGTTTTGCGCGGGGCCCGGGGAAAGTGCACTGCTCTTTTTTTTGGGTGGGGGCGGCATGTACCGGAATGAATCTCGGGCGGGGACAGGGGAAGATGCACTGTTTTTTTTTTTGGGTCGGGGGGGCAGCACGCGACATCGGCGGGCCTTCGGGAGTGTTCGGGTGCACGTTGGCCAGTTAGGCTGAGTTAGCCGCATCTCCCGCGTTCGACAGTTTGCGGGCGCGTTCAAACTCGGCCATCGTCTCCGGGACCGAACCGCGGGCAGTGGGAGCGATGAGAGAGAGAGAGAGAGAGAGAGAGAGAGAGAGAGAGAGAGAGAGAGAGAGAGAGAGAGAGAGAGAGAGTACTTCAACGCACCGGGCAACAGGTAAGTCTCCAAGGCCGCGGCTGGCCTCGCGCAACTTCCATCGAAAGCATGAGCAAAACCGATCGAATAGTGTGTGTGTGTGAGAGAGAGAGAGAGAGAGAGTTCCCCAAGGCCGCAGCTGGCCTTGCCCATCTTCCATCGAAAGGATGAGCAAAATCGATCGAATCTTTCGCTACATACACCGTGATACACGTGTGTGTGTGTGTGTGTGTGTGTGTGTGTGTGTG